CTTTTTACAAGATATTCCAGGAAACAGGAGCGGAGTAGGAGAAGGTCATTTTGTCTAGTTCAGTCCTCACTGAGGGAACACTGCAGGTAATAATGTCCTGAGAGCGCACGCTGTAGCTGCACTCACACAGAGACATGAAGGAGGAGATGTATGAAGGCAGCAGACCAAGAAGTGATTTAAAGATGAAAATGTCCCAGTGAGAGAGTCTGTGTGAAGTTAATGATGACCAGTTAACCAGTGAATACTGGGTGCAGTGGTGGGTACGATAATCACAGCCAGTTATGAATCTTAGTGCACCATGATAGACAGCATCCAACATCTGCAGGGTTCTTGTAGGAGCGTTCAAGTAAATAATGTCACCGTGATCAATGGAGGGAAGGAAAGTCACAGATACAAGGTGTTTCCTAACATTTAGAGTTAGACAGGATCTGTTTCTGAAAAACAAACCCAGTTTAACTTTGAGTTTCTTTACCAAGTTTTCCACATGGAGCTTAAAAGAGAGATGTGAGTCGACCAAGATACCCAAATATTTATAGGAATCAACAAACTCAATGGGGACACCATTTGAGGATAAAATCGGAGGAAGAACTGCTGGGACCGACTTCCTATTTCAAAAATGCATCCCTTTGGTTTTGTCGGCATTTACGACAAGTTTGAGGCGGAACAAATCAGTCTGGATGATGTTGAATACAGATTTCAAAAGCTGGAAAGCCTTTTCAACAGTTTTAGCTCGACAATAAACAACTGTGTCATCAGCATAGAAATGTATGGATGCATTAGGGATGTTTTTACCTACATTACGTATTTAGATTGTAAAGAGGGTGGGTCCTAAGACTGAGCTTTGTGGTACACCATTGTTTACTGTTAAATAACTGGAGGAAGTACCATTATGATGAACAGATTGCCTCCGGTCTGAGGGATAGTTAGAGAACCAACCAATGGTGTGATCTGAGAAACCAATTTCTGAGAGTTTATGACACAAGATGTTCTGATCCACAGTGTCAGAATCTTTAGACAGGTCTAAGAAAAGTGCAGCACAATAATCCTTAGCATCCAGTGCTTCAACGATGTCATTAAGAACCTTCAATGAAGCAGTGGTTGTGCTGTGTTGTTTCCTGAAACCAGATTGATGTGGAGGTAAGTTGTTAAATGAGTCCAGGTAATTTTTGATTTGAGACTTTATCAATTTTTCTAGAACCTTGACTAAAATGCAGAGTTTACAGATTGGTCGATAGTTGTTCAGTGAGGGGGGGTCAACTTCCTTCAGCAAAGGAAGAACAAAGGCTGTTTTCAAGAGTCTGGAATGGAGTTTTGTCTTATGGAGAGATTGAAGATGTGGGTCACAGGGACTGTGATGATATGAGCAGCCAGCCTTAAGAAATAAGGTGGAAGTTCATCTGGACCTGCAGATTTTTTAGGATCAAGATCTTTTAACAGTTTATTAACTTCACTGACTGAGAATGGAGGAAAAAGAGAAGGTGTGATTAACTGAGGATTGACTTGTAGGAGGGATTTGATTTGTAGAAGTTTGGTTATTAAGTGAAGTGGCTGATCTTCCATTAGTAACTGTGTCAAATAAAGAACTAGAAGCAACAAAATGTTTGTTGATGTTAGGATTTGTGGTCGGAGCGAACCCAGAGTGCAGAACAGGGACT